CATCACGATGCGCGGGATGAAGAGGAGCAGGCGGGCGGCCGGGGGGGGCCCGGCTTTCCCCTCGCCGGACAAAGTCTGCAGGATCCAGTATGGCAGTCCCGCTACCAACCAAGGGAAGACGACACAGCGTAGCGCATGTTCTGGCCGCCACTCCCACGGCACATCTTGGGGAGTAACGTCAAGGGAAGGAAAATAACGCGCGGCCCATATTTCCTGTCCGCCCTGGAAGAATTCGTCAGGATGGATGTATCCAGGGCTCGCGACGAGCAGGAAGCGAGCGAAAAGCAGCACAAAATACCAAAAAGGTTGCCCAAGCTGTAAAAACTGCGGATCATGGGAGCCTACATGGGCTTGGGAGTGTTTTTGGGACGATGGTGACGGTTTGCTAGTCATGGACTCGAGACGGCTGTCATGTGTTACCTTTGGAGTGTGATTGAGGTTGCGAGAAATAGGGGGAAGGGTAAAATTAATCCTCCATCATGATGTTCCCGGGCGACGGAGCAATTACTAAGCGTCGCAGTTCTTGAGAGCGTCGAATAAATGTGTCGCGAGGATTAACAAGAAACATGCATCGCCCTTTTTTACCTGCGCCTTCGGCCCTCCCCCACGGGAGAAGGGATAGAGGCAGTATGGAAGAGGAACACTCTCCCTCGCGTAACAGTGTGCAGTGGTAAGCGCTTTTTTGCTCTCATGCACATGAATGACACATGTTTATGACGTTCGAGCGGAGTCACGTCGTGACGGAGGGAGGAGTGCATGTTTTATCCAGGTTGCATTTACTGGCACGAGGAGCTCTCGCTGTGGTCGGCAGTGGATGGTCTCCGGCGCCTTGCCGTTGCTTTGAAAATGATAGACGCACGCCCTCAGCACACTGCGCGGCCCACAGCCACCATTTTATGACGCTCATGTTGACGTGTGACACACCCTTGTTATATCCACAGCCTTTCCTTTCACTCTTCTGCCCTCTCTGGTCAAGATGCTTTCCCGCCTTGCCCTCACGATGCGCTCCAGCCTGGCTGTGACTGCTCGAGCTTGCAGCAGCAGCAGCACCACACCCACTATCCATCAAGGCACCGTCCGGGCGTTTGACTCCCGTCGAGTAAGTGCGACGCGAAGAAAGGGAGGATGACGAGGTTGGGACGTTGCATGAGAAAGGAGGCATTGATCAATTATGGCCCAGTGGCTTGAGACTAGAATAATCCTCTTGACGTTCCCTCCTTCCTCCCCCGTTTAACCCTCTCTTCCTCCCT